ACGCGAGGGAGGTCCCTGCTGCTTTCCGCGGGGTGAGACGAGCAAAGGCCTGGGCTGACGCAGGGCTGACGGGAGAGACAGGACGCGGGAGGGGCAGCGGGTCTGCGAACCTCAGGGGCTCCCATGACCTCTGTGGCTTCCCGAGGTGTCACCGGCTGATGCGCCTGGAGCCCCCGCCATCCCCCGCCAGACAGAAACCAGGACAAATTCCCGGGTCCAGCCACCAAGCCTGGGCGAGCGGGAGGTGCCGGAGAGGGGATTGACTGGGAGACAGAGGACCGCAGCTCCTGGCCGCCCTCCCGGTGGAGGGAAGGGACGCGAGGGGACACGGGTGTGCAGTGCCGGGCCCCTGGACACAAGGTGGTCGGCGCCTGGTGAAGTGGACAGGTCAGCACGCAGCCCCCAACCTGCCTGGATCCGACAGCCACAGCTCAGGGGGGGCCGCGGTGACATGACCAGGGGGCCGCTTCAGGAAGAACAATTTGGCGTCAGTTCTCGAAACGGGGGTGGGGTGTCGGGGTAACAGGAGGGGCGCAGTGAGCAGACATCCAGGAGGAGGTAATGAGTGGCAAAACAATGAGATTAAACAGTCCATGTGATTATGCATTTAAAGTTCTAATTTTAAATCCAGCACCCTAATTAGGCATAAATTATTTTACCATTCAAATGTATTCTGGGTTGAAGCCCCCCTCTCACCCCCACGCCGCTGGTGGGGAGTGGGCGGGGGAGGGGTGCTTCTGGGGGCTCCAGGCCCCTCCCTGACTCCTGCTGAGCACCGGGCCTTACGGCTGGTCGCTGCCACGTTCTCACCCGTCCCCGCGTCCTGCAGGGTTCCCGCTCCTGGCCAGGGTTAGGCCTTACCGTACCCCTACCCGCGTGGAGGCCGGCAGGCTGCAGGGGCTCCTGTCGGGAGTCAGTCGGAAGCCAAGACCTTCCAGAAGGATCTGCCGGCACCGAGGGATCCCAGAAGATGCCGCCCAGCCCAGGAGGAGGGGGCCGCCCCCCTATGGTGGTCCAGGGCACCTCCAGGTGGGTGGGCTGGGATGGCTGGGCGGGCAGGAGGGGATGCAGAGAGTGGGCGCTGGCTTCATGAGTGGGGTCTGGGGGCTCAGCCCGGCAGGTGTGGTAACGGCCCGGCTCATGCAGCTTGCTGGCACCGTCCACGGGGGTGGGGCTGCCCAGAGAGGGGACTCGCCCTCCCCGCGTCCCAGGCCTGGTCAGCACCTGCTGCTGCTGCGTGGGCCCCCAGGCTGGGGAGCAGCTGACCACAGCAACAGGGGCAGGTGGGGGCTGTTCTCGGTCTCCTCTGGGCGCCGGGTCTGGGGCTGACCCCGGCGGGACAGGGGGAGGGAAAGGACGTGGGGTGGGGTCTCTCCTGGGCGCTGGGTCGAGCAGGGCAGGGCGGCTGACGGGGAGACTGAGGCTCGGGCGGGTCTCGTGAGGGGCGTCGAAGGCGGTGGATGCGGGGGCCCCCGAGACCCTCTTCCGGTTCACTGCATCTGCTTCTCCAGCGCCCGCCTCCCCGCCCTGGAGCTGAGCCCCCTGCACCAGCCCTGCAGGACCGTGTCAGCGACGCCGCACGACCCCTGGGGAACGCGGAGGGGAGACCACCGGGCTCAGGGAGCTCCGGAGTCTGTGGGCCGAATAAGGGGCGCGAGCTAAGAAGGGGCCCGTGGTCTCTTCCAGGAAGTTTCCAGAAGGGTTTAGTGGCCCCGACCTTGAGTCCCCGCATTCTCCAGTTGGCTCTGGCCACTACACCCTGAGCCAAGGCCACGCCCCTGCACTCATGCCCCAGGCCACTCCCCTACAGCCGCGCCCCAGGCCACGCCCAGGCCACGCCCACAGCCACGCCCAGGCCACACCCACAGTCACACCCAGGCCACGCCCCTGAAGTCGCGCCCTGTCCATCCACCTACAGCCATGCCCAGGCCATGCCCAGGCCACGCCCACAGTCACACCCAGGCCACGCCCCTGAAGTCACGCCCAGTCCATCCACCTACAGCCATGCCCAGGCCACGCCCCGAAGCCATGCCCAGGCCACGCCCACAGTCGCACCCAGGCCACGCCCCTGAAGTCACGCCCAGTCCATCCACCTACAGCCATGCCCAGGCCACGTTCCGAAGCCACGCCCAGGCCACGCCCACAGTCACACCCAGGCCACGCCCCTGAAGTCACGCCCAGTCCATCCACCTACAGCCATGCCCAGGCCACGTTCCGAAGCCACGCCCAGGCCACGCCCACAGTCACACCCAGGCCACGCCCATGAAGTCGCGCCCAGTCCATCCACCTACAGCCATGACCAGGCCACGTTCCGAAGCCACGCCCAGGCCACGCCCACAGTCACACCCAGGCCACGCTCCTGAAGTCGCGCCCAGTCCATCCACCTACAGCCATGCCCAGGCCACGCCCCGAAGCCATGCCCAGGCCACGCCCACAGTCACACCCAGGCCACGCCCCTGAAGTCACGCCCAGTCCATCCACCTACAGCCATGCCCAGGCCACGCCCCGAAGCCATGCCCAGGCCACGCCCACAGTCGCACCCAGGCCACGCCCCCGAAGTCACGCCCAGTCCATCCACCTACAGCCATGCCCAGGCCACGTTCCGAAGCCATGCCCAGGCCACGCCCACAGTCACACCCAGGCCACGCCCCTGAAGTCACGCCCAGTCCATCCACCTACAGCCACGCCCAGGCCACGTTCCGAAGCCACGCCCAGGCCACGCCCACAGTCACACCCAGGCCACGCCCCTGAAGTCACGCCCAGTCCACCCACCCACAGCCACGCCCAGGCCACGCCCACAGTCACACCCAGGCCACGCCCCTGAAGTCGCGCCCAGTCCATCCACCTACAGCCATGCCCCAGGCCACGCCCCTCAGCCACGCCCAGACCACGCCCACAGTCACACCCAGGCCACGCCCCCGAAGTCACGCCCAGTCCACCCACCTACAGCCATGCTCCAGGCCACGCCCCGAAGCCATGCCCAGGCCACGCCCAGACCACGCCCCGAATTCATGCCCAAGCCACGCCCTTCAGCCATGCCCAGGCCACGCCCCGCAGCCACACCCAGGCCACACCCAGGCCACGCCCTCTAGCCATGCCCCAGGCCACGCCCCTGCACCCCAGCCCCTGTCCCTCCAGCCCTCAGCCCCACACCGTGGGTAGCACTGCCCCATGGGCATCCTTCCCTCCCTTCCTGTGCCTTCCCGGCCCAGGTCCGACCCCACCCGCTGCGGCTGTTTCTGGCCACCGGGTGCAGAGTGGGCAGCGGTGGAGACAGGGACGCACCCTCGCAGGGAGGGCAGAGAGCTGGCGCAGGTGTGCAGCTGGAGTCCCGGAAGGGCTCAGGCACACTTGTGCCCAGTGGCCCTGGGCTGTCCCCATGGGCCTGCAGCTCCGTCAGACTCTCCAGGAACGCTTTGGGGAGGGGGAATACGCTCTGACCCCTCCGGGGACGGGGCATCTGCCTCTCTTTCCGCTGAGCCTGTCCCAGGAGGAGCTGGGCTGGGAGCCTGTGGGCCAGCAAGGGACACACCCGCCCCGAGGATGCCCCAGTCTTGCAGCCCAGGGCATGGGGTGAGACGGGACCCCCAGGCGTGGGGTGAGCTGGGACCCCTGGGTGTGGGCTGAGCCGGGAGCCCTGGGCGCGGGCTGAGTTGCCTCTGGCAGCCTGGCTGACCAGCACGCCCTTGTCCCCGCCTGGACACAGACCGGCCGTGCAGGAGTGGGCCCACGGGGTCCGGCCGTCACCGTGAGCTGGCAGACAGCAGATGGGAGGAAACGCGCCTCTGCTCGTGGCCGGCCCCGAGGCCTTCCCGCAGCCACTGCCGGCCCTCGGCCCCCCGGACCTGTCCCAGCGCGCACGTGTCCGAGGGTCTCGGGCCTGTCGTCAGGCCACCAGGAAGAGCCCGAGGGAGAGGGCAAGAACTTCCTGTCCACCGCCAGGAGGGCAGGTGTGAGCAGGAGACAGGCCCAGCCCACGACGGGCCCTTGGCCTTCGGTGAGGCGCCTGCAGAGGGCAGCTGAGGGGGCCGGGTGGGAGAGGACCCTTAGGGGCCCGGGGAGGGGTGGGTCAGGAGAGGTGGGGCCCCTCTGCTCCCCATCTCCCCCTCCACCGTCCTGGGTAATGGATCGGTGATGGTGAGGGTCCTTTTAGCAGATCAGACCTGAGAGGGTGTCCCAGCTGTTGACTTGAGCCCCAGGATTCCCTCTGGGCACTGGAGTCGGAGGATCCTCGGGGGGCTGTTGGGGGGGGCACAGGCAGCATTGGACTCCCCCTTCTTGGGCGCTGGTCCATGGGCGGCATGAGTGTGAGTTTGGGTCCCCCACCCATGGATTTATTGCTCAGAACTACTCCAGGGACCCCGAGAATTGCTTATTTGCTGAGGAAATACCTCCATACGCGCCCCCCCGCCCCCTACACACACACACACACACACACACACACACACACACACACAGGTAGGGACGGGGCAGCCCCCCTCCTGGCCCCAGTGGCCACTTGGCGCCTTTGCGGCTGGCCAGGGCTGACCCAGGGGGAGCTCGCCTGTCACCGCCACCTGGCTCCAGGGACAGATGGAACCTTCCGGGCCTCGTCCCGCCCGCTCCCCGCCACACCCGTGTTTGTGCGTGTCTGTGTGTGTGTATTATATGCAAGATTCAAAGTGGCGTGATGCCAGGCGGGAAATAAAGACTCTGCATAGGGCAGAAATAATTTGCAAGACCAAGTTGGGGTAGCGAGTGGCTGGTGACTCCGGCGGCTTCCAGAGGGCGAGCGGCTGCCCCCTTTGAAGGGGGACACCACAAAAGGGCCCGGCTGGGCGCATTCTAATTTGCTCCTGGCAGTTGCAAAGTGCTCAGCTCGGCCGCCGGGCATTGTGCGGCCGATAAATAACGCTCGGAAGGGAGGCGAGGGGCTTCTGGAGGAGGCGCTGGGCACGCGGTGATTAAATCTGCCTCTGGGGGCCCCAGGCGGCCGGGGCGCCGTCTGGGATAAAGGGAGCTCAGCGCGGCCACTGGCTGTCGGGAGATTCTCGCAAATTGGGCAGCGTCTCTCGAAGGCCGGGTCCTCGCTCCCTGGGCGGGGCCTCGTCCAGCGGGAGGACGCGAGTGGCCGGGCTGTCGCGGCACAGGGCGTCTCCCCGCGAGGGAGCCCCAGGCCCGCAGAACCCACTGGGCCCCGGTTTCTCCACGTCGGTGCTGCTGTGGGTGACGCCCGTGGAGGGTGACCCGGGCAGGTGCCAGCAGCTGCGCCAACTCTCCGTGGGGCTGGAGTCTGCCAAAGCATCCTCTTCCCTGCTGCCCCTCAGTGGCTCATGGTTGCTGTCATCGTTGGGGGTGGCCGTGCCTGGCACTGCCTCCGGGTGGTCCTCCCTGCCTGCCCGCCTGCCAGGGCCACGCGCTCTCCTGCTGCATTCGTTCGACCGTGTCTCACATGGAGCACCTGCGCTCTCTGGGGGACTGGAGGCAGGTGGGGGATGGTGGGTGTAGCCAGGCAAACGCTGGGGTCCTGGCAGTTCAGACCCAGGGCCAGGGTCGGGCTGAAGAAGCGAGCTCTGGCAGGATCTGGGGCGCCGGGGTTCCCGAGGGCTTGTGGGCACCGTGTCTCAGGCGCTGGGGTGACACGATGCCGGGCTGGCACGGAGGGGCAGTTGGGGCTGCTGGGGTGCCCGTGTCCCTGCTGGCTTCCTGCTGCCGCCATTCACTGTCTGTCCCTGGTGGCTCAGTGCCCAGTTCCTGCCCGTGGCCAGTCGGGGCTCTCAGATGCCCCCGTTGGCCTCACTGCTGGGCCCGAGCTCTGCGTGAGCATCTGCTGCTCGCGCCCAGATGTGCCCCCCCCCCCCTGGGGCCGCTGCAAGGGGCTGACGGGGAGATAAGGGCCCGGCAGACAGTAGGGCAGAGCCGCCCCTGGTCCACTCCACCTGTGCCGAGGAGCTGGAGGCAGTTTCCACACCGGCATGGGAGTGTCGCACCCCAGCTCTAGGCGCGGTTCCTACCGGCATCGCTTAGAGAACAGGGGTTATCTGAATGGTGAAGGGGGCAGGGAGAGACAGAGAGAGGTAGAGAGAGAGACAGAGAGAGACACACACAGAGACAGAGAGACACACTCGGAGACATAAAGACAGAGAGACGCACAGAGACAGAGAAAGACACACAGAGACAGAGACACACAGAGACATAGAGAGATGGAGAGACACACAGAGACAGAGACAGAGAGACAGAAAGAGACAGAGAGAGACACACAGAGACAGAGAGAAACACACAGAGACAGAGGGACACACAGAGACAAAGAGACAGAGACACACACAGAGACAGAGACAGAGAGACAGAAAGAGACAGAGAGAGACACACAGAGACAGAGAGAGACACACAGAGACAGAGGGACACACAGAGAGAGACAGAGAGGGAGAGAGAGAGACAGAGAGACAGAGAGAGAGGGAAAGAGAGAGACACAGAGACAGACAGGGAGAGAGGGAGAGAGGGAGAGAGACAGAGACAGAGAGAGAAAAAGAGAGACACCCAGAGGGACAGAGAGAGAAACACAGAGACAGAAAGAGACAGAGAGGGAGAGACAGAGAGAGAGAGGGAGAGAGGGGAAGAGAGAGGGAGAGCAAGGAGGAGAGAGGGAGAGAGAGGGAGAGCGAGCGCACGTTTCCATGGAAGCCTCATCAACAAGCCAGTTGGCATCTCATGCCTGACGCCCCCTGGCCCCCGAGCTACTGGAAACTGCAGGTGTTCATTTTTTTTTGCTTTTTGGGTCCCACTTGGCGATGCTCAGGGGTTCCTCCTGGCTCATGCACTCAGGAATCGCTACTGGCGGCGCTCAGGGAACCATATGGGATGCTGGGAATCGAACCCGGGTCAGCCGCGTGCAAGGCAAAACGCCCTCCCCGCTGTGCTCTCGCTCCAGCCCCTGCAGGTGTTCCTTTTATTGTTCATTTTTTGGGCCACACCGAGTGATGCTCGGGTCTCACTCCTGGCTCTGCGCTCAAGGGTCACTCCTGGGAGGGCTCTGGGGGACCAAACATGGTGGCGGGAGTCGAACCGGGACCAGCTGCATGCAAAGCAAGAACCTTTCCTTCCGCAGTTCCGCTCTGGCCTGAGAGTTAACGCTGGGATTTTACTCGCTTCTGTTCTGCTCTCATGCCTGGCAGTGCTCGGGGCTAAGGCTGGCTCTGTGCTCAGAAGTCACCCCCGGTGGTGCTCGGGGGACCTTATGTGGTGCTGGGGATTTGGACTGGGTGGGCGAGAGGGATGTAGTCAAGCGGTGTAACCCCTGTGTTCTTGGGCCCCCAAACTGGGAGTCTCAATGTAGGAACGTCCAATTAGAGTGGGTCCTTCTCTCTCTCCGTCACTCCGCCAGGGATCTGTTTCTCCTCATCAACATTATAACGAGATCAAAAGTCCTTGAGAGCCTACATCGGGTCAATCAGATTTAATCCGGGCAATGGTTTTCCAGACTTGGTAAATGATGAGAGAGAGAGAGAGAGAGAGAGAGAGAGAGAGAGAGAGAGAGAGAGAGAGAGAGAGAGAGAGAGAGAGAGAGAGATTTCAGTGGGAAATATACAGTTCCCAAAGCATCCATTTAAAAGGGGGGGGGGGAAAGACTAAAAATCAATGAGCTAATTGTGCCCCCAAAGCTAGAGAAAGAGCCGCAAATTAAACCCAAGAAATGTGGCACGGCGAGATGTGATCAAGAGCAGAAATGCGTCGGAAAGAAAAATGACAAAAACCGACGCTTAGAAAAGTCTCATAAAAACGCGGTGGCCCAGAGAGATGAATGGAGAACGAGGAGAGCAGCGTAAATACTGATTTCAGGGTTAAAATCAAACCAGACGGATTCAACAAAGCCCCCGAAGGGCCGTGTGCCCACAAGGGGCCACCGAGAGAAAAACGGGCAAATTTGGGGCCGGAGCGATAGCACAGCGGGTAGGGCATCTGCCCTGCACGTGGCCGACCCGAGTTTGATCCCGGCGTCCCATATGGTCCCCTGAGCACCGCCAGGAGTAATTCCTGGGTGCAGAGCCAGGAGTCACCCCTGAGCATCGCCAGGTGTGATCCCTCACAAAAAATAAAGAAAATGGGCCAATTCCTTTCAAGCTACATCTCCCCAGACTGACCTGTGAGGGGACGACGTCTTATAGCTTCAGCAGTTGTGGAATTAAAAGGAAAGGAAGTGGCCGGAGCGACAGCACAGTGGGGAGGGCACTTGCCTTGCACGTGGCCGACCCAGGTTCAATCCCCAGCATCCCCTATAGTCCCCCGAGCACTGCCAGGAGTGATTCCTGAGTGCAGAGCCAGGGGGAACCCCTGAGCATCACTGGGTGTGACCCTCCCCCCCCCCAAAAAAAAAGGAAACGGAAACTGTCTACCCCCAGCGCAGTGTCTGGGACCCGAGCATCCTGGTTTCCGTGAACGCTGTGGCGACGCCCCCTGGCCCCCGTATGCGCAAGGGACAGAGAAAGCCGTTTCCTGCCGGACCACAAGTCTGGAGGAGAAGGAGGAGTAGCCAGGGTTGGGGGTGCCCAGGGGCAGAGCGCGACCCCTCCAGGGAATCCCAGCACCCACCGGACGAAGGCAGGGACAGGGCCAGGGCCCAGGGGCCGCATTGTCTTGGTGCAGGGAAAGGCCAGGTTGATGGCACAGCCCCAGTCACCCTCCCGGGGCTGAAGGGAAACAACTCATAGCACCCAAACCCCTAAGCCCCCCACCCCAGACAGGGCCCCAGACAGGGCCCCAGAAAGGGGCAGCACCCCGTGTCCACGAACATCGGAGGCTGCCTCTGCTCTGAGGCTGGCGGGCGGCAGAGAGAGCGAGTGGGGAGCAGCTGTACACCCTGGTGTCCCCCAGATGCCGCCTCTCTGGAGAGACTATGCTGGGGGGCGACAGGAGCCCATGGCAAGGAGCAGTCACTGTCCCCAGTGTCCAGCAAGGGGCGTCCCGTGGTCCTCGGTGACCGGCAGCTGCACCAGCTAAGGAGACGGATGCTCTGTGGGGTGCGGCCGCTGCCCTCGAGGGCTGGCCGGGAATGAGGGCTACATGGGCAGGTCACTGAATGGGCAGAAGAGTGGCAGGACGGCCGCGCCAGCCCAGGGCAAGATGGGGGCCGGGTTTGATCCCCACGAAGGGAGGCAGAGCACCGCCTCAGCAAGGAGAGGGGACGGGACAGCAAAGCCAGTGTGTCTGTGAGAAAGAGAACGGTGTGTGTGTGTGTGTGTGTGTGTGTGTGTGTGTGTGTGTGTGTGTGTTTGAGAGAGACAGATGAGAGAGAGGAGAAAGGATGTATGAGGATGGATATATGTGTGTGAGACCATGTGAGACTGTGTGTGTGTGTGTGTGTGTGTGAGAGAGAGAGAGAGAGAGAGAGTATGATACTGTGAGACTGTGTGTGAGAGGGTGTATCCGAGAGGTTATGATACTGTGAGACTGTGTGAGACTGTGTGTGTGAGAATGTATAAGAGTGTGTGTTGAGCGAGAGAGGGTGTGTGGGACTGTGTGAGAGACTGTGTTGAGAGACGGTATGATGCTGTGAGACTGTGTGAGTTGAGAATAAGAGAGAGTGTGTGAGACTGTGTGTGTATGTGTGAGATTGTGTGAGACTGTGAGAGAAGATGAGACTGTGTGTGAGAGAGAAAAAGTGTGAGACTGTGACACTGTGTGACATTGTGTGTTGAGAGGGTGTATGAGACTGTGTTGAGAGGATATGATACTGTGAAACTGTGAGACTGTGAGACTGTGTTGAGTGTGTGATACTATGTGAGACTGTGTGTGACAATGTGAGACTGTGTTGAGAGGTTAAGAGAGGGTGTGTGTGTGTAAGTGTGTGAGACTGTGTGAGACTGTGTGTATGTAACCATGTGAGACTGACTGTGTGTTGAGAGAGGGTATATGAGACTGTATGTGTGTGTGTGTGAGACTGTGTGAGACCGTGTGTGTATGACTGTGTGAGACTGAGTTGAGAGAGGGTGTGTGTGTGTGACCATGTGAGACTGTGTTGAGAAGTTAAGAGGGTATCTGTGTGTGTGTGAGACTGTGTGTGTGACTGTGTGAGACTGGCTGTGTGCTGAAAGAGGGTGTGTGAGACTTTGTGTGTGTAAGACTATGTGAGACCGTGTGTGTGTGTAACCGTGTGAGACTGTGTTGAGAGAGGGTGTGTATGAGTGTGTGAGACTGTGTGTGTGACCGTGTGAGACTGTGTGAGACTGTGTAAGACCCTGTGTGTGACTGTGTGTGAGACTGTGTGTGAGACTATATGTGAGATGTGCAAGACTGTGCGACAGACTGTGTGAGACCGTGTGTGTGTGTGTGTGTGTGTGTGTGTGTGTGTGTGTGTGTGTGAGACTGTGTGCTGAGAAGAGAGAGGGTGTGACGCAGGACCATGGAGGCCAGTAGGGCAGGGCTAGGAGGCACAGCCGAGGGGTCAAGGTTGGTGTGGCCTTCTTGGGGTCAGTGCCTGGCGACCGGCCAGCTGCCCCCTGCCCCTGTCCTCTGCTGCCTCTCCAGAGTGACCCAGCAGCTGTCTTTCTCCACAGGCGGGTCCCGGGACCTGGGCATGGTGGGGGTCCCAGAGCAGACCCATGCGTCTGTGAGGGCTCAGGGCAGGGGACGCAGGCTGGCCAGTGGCCTCGAGAGGGTCTGGGCGTCTTCAGAGCCGCCATCCTGGGCCGGCCAGAGCCGTGTTCATGCCCGGCCGCCGGAGTCCGGCCTGGAAGGGCCTAATGAGGGTTAATGAGGTTAACTGCTGTGCCCTCACTCAGCGCTTGCTGGGGAGGGGAGCCGCTACGTGGCGTCCCGGAATAGCTCAGGCCAAGCTGGAGGTCTGGAGTGCCGACCCCACTGCCTGCCCCCGTCTCCGTCCTGCCTGACCCCTTCTTCCACGGACCTGGGGGCTTCCCTGTGGACAGCTGGGCTCTGTGGCGGACGGGGGTGGGAGTGGGGGTGGAGGGGCCCCCGAGCACCTCTTTCCAGAACATTCCAGCTTGTTCTACCTGGATGAACGCTGCACAGGAAATTTCACCCTCAGTCCTAGGAACGGACCGACAGACTCTGGCTTTCGGACGTGCACCCCAGGGATCAAAATTTTCCTTTCTCCTTTTAGTTTTTGGGGCCACACCGGCAGTGCTCAGGGGTCATTCCTGGCTTTCCGCTCGGGATCACTCTCGGTGGTCCTCAGGGGACCCAGAGTGGAGTGGGGAATTGAACCCGGGTTGGCCTGACCCCTGTGGGCCCTCTCTGGCCCCGCTGCAGTTCCTAGCATCACAGCCTGCGGGGTCCAGCTTCCAGCCGCGCCTGGACACAGGTCGGCTTTTTCTTGTCCCCAGCACAAGGCGTGTGGCATTGCCCAGGGGCCGCCAGGAGTGTCTCGGGGTGAGGCCGGGTCCTGGGATGGGCAGGCCCCCAGAGGGACACTTGGTGTGCCATGGGGACAGAGGCCAGGCAAGGGCAGGGATGGACAGAGCACAGGGCGTGGGAGCACCCCCGTTCCCGGGGAGCACAGTCGCAGCCGTGGCCCCGTGCTTGGCTGTGTTGGCCACTGTGGGCTCGGCGTGGCCCCTAGGGGACTGCCTGCGGGGGGAGCCTCTGGAAGGTCTCGGCGAGGGGGGCCTGGAAGGTCCAGCTCAGGAAAGCAGGAAGTGCACAAGTGGGCACACCCCACCCCCACTGGGGACCCCTGGTCTCCACCAATATGTTAGAGGGGATCATCCCAAGCACCGTCCAGGGAATATTCGGTCCAGCCGGGCAGGCTCTAGCCCAGGAGCCTGGTTGCTCGGGTCCAGAGGGGCTGTGGCCACAGGGACGCAGCTGGTGGGACTCAAGGGGCCACAAGGTACCGGGGACCAAACCCGGGTACTCACATGGGGCTGCTGGGTGGGCAGCTGATTTCCCTCTCCCGGCAAACTCTGCTCTGCCGAGCTGCCGAATTCCGTACTCTGTCCTGTGGGGACCCCTGGGCCTATCCTGTGGGGTCCCCCTGGGCCTGTCCTGCTGGCCTTCACCTGCACGGGTGAACCTGTCCACAGGATGACAAGGACCAAAGGTTCTGGGGAGACCCTGACAGACAGGACCCCCACTTTGGCGTTTCCTCATGCTTCCCTCTTTTTTGGGGGGGAAGGGTCAGACCCAGCAATGCTCAGGGGTTCCTCCTGGCTCTGCACTCAGGAATCACTCCTGGTGGTGCTCGGGGAACCATATGGGTTGCCGGGGATCGAACCCAGGTTGGCCACGTGCAAGGCCTCCCCGCTGTGCTATCGTTCCGGCCCCACACGCTTCCCTCTTGCCCGTCAGGGTGGATCCTGTGGGGGGTCGAGTCCCTCCACACTGGGGTCGACTCTCGCCTGCAGGACTCTGTGCCCTGCCCACGTGTCCCGTCTGCCACCCGGTTCTTTGGCAAAGACCCCCCAACTCCTGGGGCCCCGAATTTCCTGAGCCCCCACGAAGGTCTGCCACAAAGAGGGACAGAGAGGACGTCGGGTGGGGAGGGAGCCCTCGGGGGACTGGGGGCCCGTGGACAGCTGGGCACCGGGGCCAAGCTTGGGAGGACTGCCTGCCTGTGTAGGGAGCACCGAGCACGGCTCGCTCCTGCCCCCACAAACACACACAGCTGGAGGGCTGAGGTCCAGCAAACAGGGAAAGAGGCAGCCTGGGAGGGGAGGACCCCAGGCCTCGGTCAGCTGCTGGGGCCCCTCCTGGGGGCCTCAGACACACACCCTGGCTGCAGGAGCTCACAGCGCCCAGAGGCAGGTCCCCACCCCCCGCCCCGCCCCCTTTTCTGCTCACAGCCGCCTCCGAACCCTCCCCATCTTCCCCTGCTCGGCACCCTCAGTCTTGGCCCTGCATCCCCCAAACATAAGGCGGGAGACTCAAGGGGGGCCTTCTGTGCGCCCCCAGCGCCCCCGTGTTCCCTCTGTGACCTGGCGCCCAGTTTCTCCTCGTCCATGTCAGGAGATGGAAAATCGCTCCTTCCCAAGACCTTTGCGCAAAGCTCTGGCCACTAACGGGACGGAGCGAGTCCCGAGAAGCCGGCTTTGCTCCCTGCGCTAAACTATCCACCACGGCGTCCGTGGCTGGCTAGGAAGGGTGGAGAGACAACGGGCCATGTCCTTGCTGTCAGCCGAGCCCCTTCTAGAAAGCACGGCCCTCGTCGCCAGGGAGACAGAGGCAGTCCCTCCACCCCCCAGGGCGAGCCCCTCATCAGGGAGACAGAATCAGCCCCCCAGACCCCACCCAGGGAGAACCGTGAGGCCGAGTGACTTTACATAAACCACCACAACTACACGTCTACAAACAATTGTTATGGGCAAACAACTTGAGCGTGGCCCCTGGGGCCCAAGGGGGCAGAGAGGCCTCTGGGAGCCGCTGGGCCCTCGGCCATGCCCAGGACGGGGGGTGGGGTGGGGGGGGGGACGCAGGCCCTCAGAGAGCTACTTTTTCTTCTTTTTCTTCTTCTTCTCCTTGGCCCCTTTCTTCTCCTTTTCTTTTTCCTTCTCCTTCTCGGGGCTGGACCCCATCAGGGCCAAGGCTCTCTTTCTCCCCAGCGGGGTCTTGGCGTACCAGACCTGGAAGTCAAACGGGCGTTGGTCTGGGAACGGGTCGAGCCGGAAGCTCCTTACAAGTCTGAGCACAGACTCGGGCACTGTCCCTGGGCCCCACGTGGCGCTCATGGTGTGACAGGCCTCCAGCAGTGGGCGGTGGGACAGGAGGGTCCGTGTGACCCGGGGACTATCCTCCCAGGGGCACTGCTGGGAGTCAGGGCACCCCGTGTGCCGCTGACCCTCGCCCCGTCTCTGGCGTCTGACTCAGTGGCAGTGGCTGTCTTGGAGTGATGGTGCTACAGGCTCCGTGTGGCCGGAAGCCGCGAGTCCCACATAGAGTTCAGGTCCCCCATCCCAGCCCTCGCGCCCGTGGCCTCCACCCTGCTAGCCCGGGACCCTGCCTCCCGCTGCCGTCACACCCATTCTCTCCTGGATGTCCAGCTGGGACAGCTGCAGGGAATTCACCCGGACACTCTACCCTATGGGCAGCCGCCCGACCTCACCCCGCTGCGGGCATCAGCCCTGCGGCCACATGACCCTAGTGTCGCCTAGTGCCAGGCCCCGGGAGAGCATCAGGCTCCGAGAGGCGCTCGATTCTGACGGCCACACTTGCTGCAGCGGATGTCTCAGTCAGCTGGAGGGCCCGAGAGGTCTCGGGGGTGGACAGTGCCTGGCACCTGTGTGGTTGGCATCCCTCCCGCTGCCGTGGCTGAGAGCCCCCCAGAGCAGGGCACGTGCTTGGATCGGCCGTGTCCCTGGTACGACATGGCAGAAGAAGCTCAAAGAGGAAGGACCTCTCTGGGCAGGATGATGGGGGCCAGCGGGGAAGGGAGCAGAGGCAGGGGGTTGGGGGTCCTGCCACCCCGTGTCTGGCCCACAGCGTCCTGAAACCCACCCCCTCCCAGAGTACGGTTGTGCGTGTGCTCGAGGATCCTTCTTTGGTTGGGTTTGGGGGTTGGTGTTTGGGCCACACCCAGTGATGCTCAGGGGGCCACCCCCAACTCTGTACTCAGGGATCACTCTGGCGGTGCTCGGGGGACCCTAGGGGATGCCGGGGATCGAACCCGGGTCAGTTGTGCAAAGCAAGTGCCCTCCCCGCTGGACTATTACTTCAACCCCTACACGAGGACTCTCAACGTCTCCTCCTGTCGGGAAAGCGCTGTGTATGTCTCGGAATGTAGGGATCTAGGGATCAGGAAACCGACTGGCATGGGCGCCCTCCCGAGTTCCCGCGGCAGGGGCCCAGCTGCACCCTTGTCCTGGCGGGCGGGGCCCGAACCTGCAGGGGCCTGACATACAGGTTTCCCCGACAGCTGTCTCGATGCAGAACCTGTCCCAGTGGGTCAGTTAGGAATGAAAAGCCAATGAGAGACAAGGTGTGTGTTATGTGTGTGTGCACGCCTGCATGCATATGTTCACGTGTGCATATACTTGTGTACGTTTGTATCTGCATGTTGGAGACACCAGCTGCACATACACGCTTGAATGTCTATGCATATATGTGGGCATGCATGCACGCGTGATCTGCATGCATCCTTGCACACACACACATGTGCAGACATCTATGCAGGGACATGCCTAGACAGGTGAGCAGAGTGACCTGCGTGTGTGTGTGCGTGTGCAGACGTATTACGGGCATGTCTGCGTGCGAACCCAACGACGTTGAAGGCGCCCGTCAGTTGTTTAATTTGGCTGTGTAAGGGCGAAACCGATGCCATGACAGGCGGCAGAAATGAGAAAAATCAGCGGCCTCAGGTTCGGTTCCTGGAACTGAAACGTTTCAGTTTCCCAGCCATGAAACAATGTATCACTGGCCAACCGGAACCCACCAGGGAAAGTTCCTGGGCTCAGCAAGAGGGCTCAATCAATCAATCCTCACAATGCCCCAGAAGTTGCTTTTTTTGTTAACCCTAAAAGAATGAGTGGTCTATGCAATCATAAAATTGTGGGCTACTGGAAATTATTGTTTAAAAGTTGCCTGACCACTGTTGCCCTAGACACTTGCCAAAACGCCTTTGTTTGGCAACTCAGTAAGATTTCTTCTGAAACAATGAGGTATGAACTGCCTATGTAATCAAACCCTATAGGAACTGTTTGCTGCCGGAAGTCGCTATCAAGAGACCACTCTGTGGGTGAGGGAGTTGACCCCCGTGCACTGGAATCAAGCTCCTACTGCTTTTGCGTTATCGAGTTAGTGTCTTCACAGGTGGAAGAAAATCCACCTTTCCCACCCGCACTCGACTGCAAAGGTTCGGCGAGCTTGTGGTCCCCGGATGTACAGATGCAGGCGCAGACGCGGGCTCTGATGCAGGGCGGGGGGGCGGAGGCGGGCCTCACCTTGAAGCTCTCCTCCTCCTCCTGGTACACGGGCACCATGCTGGTCATGGCCGCGATGAACTCGTTGGCCGTGAGGGGCTTGCGCTCCTGCTGGCGGACCCGGCGGTCGGTGAGCGCGGCCTTGACCACCTGGACGATGTGTCCCTGGGTGAAGCCGTCGGTGACCTTGGCCAGGCAGCTGATGTTCAAGGCCCCCGTGAGGACGCCCCCGTGGCGCTGGATGATCTCTTTCCACAGGACTGTGGGTGGGTGTGAGAACTGCGTCAGCCCTTCTGCGGGGCCCATGGTCCCGTCTCCCCGCTCCAGAGGGGCCCGTCTGCTCTGCTGCCGTCCAGAGGGGCGAGGCCTTCCTGCGGGCCCCCTCCCCGTGCCCCGGCTCGGTGACGCCCAGGGCAGCAGAGTGTCCCTGTGGCACTGCTAAAGAGGCCACATGTCAACTGAGACTGGATGTTCCCAGGTGGAGGGGATGCTCTCACACTCTCCACAGGCGCTGGCCGGCTGGCAGCAGCTCTCGGGCCTCTGCTGCTGCTGCTGCTGCTTCTGCAGGGAACTGGGATTTCCCCGTTTCGGCAGCTACTGCCGGGCTGTCCCAGAGACGCTGTTCCCCAGTAGCTGCCGACATGTGCGGGGCAGGGGGCGGGGGCAATGTCCAAGCCTCATAGCTAAGGGTCAAGGACCACTGAGACACCCAGAGCCCAAGGACAAAGGCTGAATGGATCGGAACCCAGAGGGACAGAGTGGACGTCAGCCAGGGGCACTGTCCACTCTGTAAGGGGAGGATGGGGAGAGCGACACTGTGGCCGTGCCCAGCGCTCAGGGGCCGGAATCGGGAAGGAGCCTGAGTGCCCCCCAGAGGGCCTGGGACTCGGGGCTGAGGGACATCACCTTTCGGAGACCTTGACCCCTGTGCAGGGTCCCCCCAGGGGTGCTCCTGGGCCCTGGGGAGAGTCTCCAGGGAGGGCTGAGCCCGCCTGTCCCTTGGGCCTTGATTAGCATTGAGTCACCTGCGTCCTCCTGCTCCTTCCCGAGGGCTGACCTCGGCCCCCCTCGAGGTTCCCTGTGCCAGGCGTGGCACCGAGTGCCGGGGCCAAGGGCGGCGCTGGCTTCTGCGATCACTCTGTGACCAGCCACGCCCGAGGTTCTCGACACCCACTCAGATAGCACAGGACGCAGACGCTACCACGTTCCTGACGGGATTGTGGGCGGGCAGGGCGCTCTGCGTCTGCAGCTAACTGCCCCGAGAGACGTCAGAACCTACCGAGGGTGGGAACCCCCGAGCCCAACGCCTTCATCTGGCGCCTAGTGAACACGCCCCATGGAGGGGCACCCCCCAGCTGGGACTCTCTGGGTTCCTTAGCCTGGAGCCTTGGCAGTGGGTGAGCTGGGGGGGACAGACCAGGCACACCAAGGCCCCACAAACCATGTTATTATTTATTTATTTATTTATTTATTTATATTTTTGCTTTTTGGGTCACACCTGGTGATGCTCAGGGGTTACTCCTGGCTCATGCACTCAGGAATCACTCCTGGTGGTGCTCAGGGGACCACATGGGATGCCGGGGATTGAACCTGGGTTGGCTGCCTGCAAGGCAAACGCTCCCCCCCCCCCCCCCCACTGTGCTATGGCTCCAGTCCTCACCCCCTACAAACTATTTTAACTTGGGATTTTACCAAAGCATTTGGGGCTGGAGCGATAGCACAGCGGGGAGGGCGTTTGCTTTGCATGAGGTGGACCTGGGTTCGGTTCCTCCGTCCCTCTCGGAGAGCCCGGCAAGCTACCGAGTATCTCGCCCACACGGCAGAGCCTGGCAAGCTCCCCGTGACGTATTCGATATGCCAAACACAGTGACTACAAGTCTCACAATTCGCTCCTCGATGAACAACGGGAGGACAGTGCTAGTGTTACCAAAGCATTTGGGTGGGCTTCTGACCTCTGAAACCTAGAATGTTCCAGAAAAGTCGGAGGAGGGGGGCGCGGATGCCAGGACCGGGTGCTGCTGGGGCCGGGCTGGTGATGGATTGGGTTATTAGTGAGCCGGAGCCCTGGGGAGACGGGCGGGGGTGGGGATGGTGGCGGCGTTGGAACGTGGACAGAAAGGAGGCCAGGGGAGGGGACAGGCGACACGGCATTAATCAACCTCGCCCGCGGGGCGTCGTGGAAGACGGTTTGAAGGAAACAGTTTGATTTGGGGACGGGTAGATATTGAATGATATTTGGCCGACCCAAGGACTGTCTCCTGCGGGGGTGGGGGGCCCAATTTTGTTTCTCGGCCCCTGAGCCCCTTCTGGACGGCGGGTTCCGGCCCTGGGAATATTCTAGCAGCTTCGGGCCTCCCCACCTGCAGAGAGATGGGTGGACGGACAGACGGGTGGACGGACAGGCAGCCCGGGTAGGGCTTGTAGCCTGGTGTCTGGGGCCGGCAGAGCCCTTCAGAATGACAGGGGGGACAGAAGCTGAGTGTCCCCCAAAGACGGTCTCCCCGGCTTGGCGAGCAGTAGGTGGGGGAGGGTCCTGGGCATGCCCTCCTGGATGGTCACCCCGGACTCAGCTCACTGGGCACGTGGGATGCCCAGGCCCGGTTCCTGAGCCCGCCGGGGTGGTCTCCAAGCATAGAGCCGAGAGTTGGCCTCAGAGAACCAAAGTTGAACCAACCGACCCTCTAGCCAACAAATCCTCCACACACCACCCCCAGACCCAGCAAGGCAGCGGGTGGGCAGGCGCCTCGGGTGGGTGGGCAGAGCATGGTGCCGGGCACGGCCCAGGGCACAGGACACCTCTGTGACTCCCCCAGGACAGGGCTCAGCCCACTGTCCGGTCACCCACCAGGAGCTGGATTTCATTTTGCTATTGGTATATTGGGGACTACGCCTGCTGGTATGCTCTGGGGGCGACGTGGTATCAGGGATGGGCCACGCCCCTCACGCCCTCTCCCTCCCCACCCGCCCAAGAGCTTTGATCTTATTCAGTTAATTTCATTTGGGGGCCACACCTGGAAGGTCAGGGATGACTCCCAGCTCTGTGCTCGGGGTTCACTCTCAGCTCTGTGCTCAGGGCTCACTACTGGCTCTGTGCTCAGGGCTGACTCCTGGCTCTCTGCTCAAGGCTGACTCCAGCTCTGTGCTCAGGGATGACTCCCAGCTTTGTGCTCAGGGCTGACTCCCGGTTCTGTGCTCAGGGCTGACTCCCGGCTCTCTGCTCAAGGCTGACTCCAGCTCTGTGCTCAGGGATGACTCCCAGCTTTGTGCTCAGGGCTGACTCCCGGTTCTGTGCTCAGGGCTGACTCCCGGCTCTGTGCTCAGGGCTGACTCTTGGAAATGCTCAGGGGACCACATGGCGTGCCAAGAATAGAACCCTGGTCAGATGCATGTAAGATAAATGCCCTCCCTGCTGTACTATTTCTCTGGCCCCAAGAGTTTTTACGTTTTTTTGCGGGGGTCACACACAGCAGTGCTCAGGGCTCACTCCCAGCTCTGCGCCCAGGGATCACTCTGGGTGGGACTCGGGGACCACATGGGATGCCGGGGCTTGAACCCGGGTCAGCCATGTGCAAGGCCTGCCAGCCGTGCTGCCTCTCCAGCCACGAGAGTCTTTGCTTTTGAAGGACTCACGGTTTTGTCAAACAAAAGGAACTCTTTAATCCGCAGTTAAGATCACGCTCAGCCCCTCCGAGTTATTAATAGCTGCCGTATCCCATTGCGAGAGCTTTAAAATGCACGAGTCCCGCGTACGCAGAGCCGGACAGTCAGAACCAGAGCTGGTGCGGGCAACCCGCCAAGGGGCAGAGGTCAGGGGCCACAGACCCGTGACCCCTCGGGGCTGCCCCTGCCCTGGAGACCGGGGGGCGGGGACTGCAGAGGTCATTCTGGCCAAGGGCACAAGGCAGGTCGGCCGGCCCTTCTGAGTCCTAGGAACCCCGTGAGCCCCACTGTCCCTTCACGCTGGTGGGACCTTGGCTGGGGTGGGGGGGTCTCGTGGATAGAGAGGCCCTCGGGTGGGAACTGGCCTTTGGGCTCTACCGGGCACACGGACAACCGACACGCCACGGCCGAAAGAGCCAGAGTGGCGGCCGCCGGGGGATGAGGGGGTGGGGGTCGCGCGCGTGGTGAGTGGCCAAGGACCTTGGAGTGGAGCACAGGGTGGGAGCAAACCCTCCCCGCTGGACATCGCTGGGCCCAAGAGTTTCCCTTTTATTTGTGGAGTTGCACCCAGCGCCTGGGCCGGAGCAGCCCGAGAGGCCGCAGAGGCCCCTGCCCGGGCTGCTGGGATGGAGGGACAGAGACCCAGGGAGGCCCCGTGACCACGCGTCCCCGGGTATCAGGACTATCCAGCTCAGCTCTCCAGAGCCGGGCAGTCCTGGGAGCCTCGCCCGTGCCCGGCTGGTGGCCGTAGCGTGTGGGGAGAGACAGTGGGCGTGGGGGCCAGGACACGCAGCCCCTTCCCACTTCTGCCTGCCCACAGAGTGGTTGCCCACCACCCTCCATCCTGGGACCCCTGGCTGGGGACAGAATCGCAGAGAAGATCAAGTGTTGGCCACGCCTACAGCAACGCAGGTGCCTGAACTTCACCTTGGGACCCGTCGCCTGCCCACCCACGGGAGCCAGAGCCTGGACAGTGACCCAGCTGTGCTGTGAATGACCGTGGAGTTGCTCAGAACTGAGTGAGGGAGCCCCGTGCCGGAGCCCTGGACATCACCTGGCCACCAGCCCATCAGTCACACAGCCACCCGGGAAGACAGTGGCCCCTCGCTCCCGCCCTCTGGCGCTGGCCCTGCCCTCTGCCCGTGTGTCCAGGATGCCAAAGACTCAGGTGGACCCAAGCTGAGCACTGGCTGTCGCTCTGCACTCCAGAGCCCTGGTCTCGGGCCACTTCTTGGAAAGGGTCCCCTTAGAAATAGCTCTCGGGGCCGAGGGTCAGGTCTGCACAGCGGGGAGGGCGCTCGTTCTGCTTGCAGGGCGCCTGGGTTCGGTCCCTGGCATCACAGCCAATCCCGAGCACTTCCCGGGGTGATCCCTGAACACAGGAGTCCGCCCCGAGCACCCCTGGGTGTAATACTCTCCCCCCTCCCAAAAAAAACAAGAAGACAGCTCAGGGCCGAGGGACGGCACAGTGGGCTGGAGTCCAGGCTCCACAAGCAGGATGTCTGGGTTCAGTCCCCCGCACCACCCTCGAGCACTGAGCCAGGAGCATCCCTGAGCATCACCAAGTGCGCCCAGAGACAAACCCAAACACGTCTCAGAAGGAAGCAGCATCTGAACGTCTCCCCTGGGACAAACATGCCAGTGCTCGTGGGGGAGCTCACGGTCAAGTGCTCGGGCTGCCGTGCAAATGGTCTGAAGCAGAGGAGATCAAACCGGCCTGGCTGAAGGTCGTGGCGCTGTGAGTGAGACAGGCCCCGAGCTGCCAATCCAGGGTCACCCGCCTGGTCATCACAGGCCCCGAGCGTTCGAACTCAGCAGGGCAGCTGTGGCCCGGAGCCCAGGCGGTGCCCACGCTCAGGACCCTCTCCTCGGCCGTGGCCCCCCGGGTCCCGGCTCCAGGTCAGCGCCCCGGGCCCTGCCGGCCAGCAGAGAGAGGTACTTGCCGTATCGGGACGCGTAGTCAGGCCGGGGCACCAGGATGATCTTCTCGTAGACCTTGCAGAAGGCCTGCAGGTCGGCGTCGAAGGGCCGCTGGGTGGTGCCCACGATCAGGATCCTGTCGTCCGGCTTCAGAAGCTTCAGGACCTTCGGAAGCTGCTTTTTCAGGCGCTTCGGGTCAATCTGGGGGAGGGCGAGAGGGGAGCGCTCACGGAGACAGCCCGGAGACGCAGAGAACTCTCCGGAAGGGGTCACGGCGTGTGGACGGCTGTCCCGTGTGTATTCATAAAATGAATAAGAAGCCTGTGGCTCTCTCTCTCTCTCTCTCTCTCTCTCTCTCTCTCTCTCGCTGGTGACCTCAGGCCGATTCCCCACCCGGGACGGCCGATGCTCAGGGTGGACGGAGGAGGAAACGAGGGCCAGGCTGGTTGGTGATCAGTCGCCGTTCATTCCATCCTCCCCACGCGCCTGTCACAGTCTCTCTGAGGCCCCCGTTCCAGTCTCAGCCGGCCCCTCACTCCCGTCTCCTCCTGGCCCCCTCGCTGGTCTCTCAGTGCTCCGACTCGCTGTCCTGGTCTCTCTAGTCTCTCTCACCGCCAAACCTTGGCCCTAGCAACCACACCCAGTCCCGTAGCACAACCAACACAGGCAAGCCCCTCCGGACCTGCAGCCAGGAGCTCGCTCACGGCGAAACACCAGCCAGGGTGCGTTTCTCCTTCCCTTGGTCCAGTGGCCATTTAAACATTCGTCTTAATTCTACTTCTTAATACTATTAGCTATTCTGTGTGGACACAGTAAGACACACTGAGCTTGTAGGGAGGCCCTCCTGGGGGCATCTCGCTATAGATCTCAGGCTACAGTGCTCAGCCCCTATCTGTCTTTCCTAACCCCAGCAGGGTCCCAATCTCGTCGTTACTTTCGGATCACGACAGCATCTGTCCATGACCGTGCTCTTGACTTGCAGTTAAGTATTACGGCGCTTTGGCCTGGCCCATTTTGAGTGGTGGGCACGCTGTGAGGGGCCTGCAAGGCTGGTTTTTCTGGATCCTAAATGCTGCGGGGAAGCCAAGGCCGGGCCTGCTGGCACACGGGTCAAGGCTGGACTCGGGGGTTGGGGACATTCCCCAGGGAGGAGGCAAAAGGCGCCTTGACAGTGTACTAGAAGCAGCGGCTCTGGGGCCTGCAAGTAACGGGACTGGGGCTGGTGCCAGCCCGCAGAGGCAGGTGTCGGGTGGGTGGGGCATCAAGGTGGGCGTGGCATCGGGGGTGGGCGGGGCACAGAGGTATGGGAGTGGGCGTGGCATCGGGGTGGGCGTGACACAGAGGGGCGGGGCGTCCGGTGGGTGGGGCATTAGGGAACTGGCGTGGAGCTGGGTGGGGCATCAAGGGGTGGGGCATCAGAGTGGGCGGGACATTGAGGGCGGGGCGTCCGGTGGGTGGGGCACAGAGGGGGCAGGGCAGCGGGTGAGAGAGGTATAGGAGTGGGGCATCGGGTTGGGCGTGGCCCAGGGGCGGGGCACCAGGGTGGGCGGGGCGCCAGGTGGGTGGGGCACCGAGGGGCGGGGCATAGGACTGGGCGGGGCATCGAGGGTGGGGCATCAGCGTGGGTGGGACATCGAGAGCGGGTCGTTTGGCAGGTGGGGCACCAGGGGTGGGGCATCAGGGTGTGTGAAGTGTCAAGGGGCGGGGCTTCGAGGGGCGGGGCACCTCGGTGGGCGTGGCATCGGGGTGGGCGTGGTATCAGGTGTGGGCGTGGCCTCAGAGGTGGGCGTGGTGCGGAGTGAGCGGGCATCTAGGGGCGTGGCATCAAGGTGGGCCTGGCACCGGTGGGCGGGGCATCGGGGTGGGCGGGGCATCGAGGGGCCGGCCCTTAAGGTGGGCATGGTGAGTGGAGGTCGGAGCAAAGACGGGAGCTACACCCGACAGTGCTCAGGGCTGACTCCCGGCTCTGTGCTCAGGGGTCACTCCTGGAGGGCTCAGGGGACCCTCTGGGGTGCCGGGTCCGCGCCCCGGCCAGTCGCCTGCAGGGCCAGCGGCCTCCCCGCTGCTCCCGCCGAGGGCCGAGGAAGAGGGATCTGGCCTTGGAGACGGGCCGCATCCCGGTTGCCATGGCGACGGGCGCCGCCGCTGCCAGTCCCCGGACACAGGCTCCTCGTTAGCCCGTTTGGACAACAGGCGCCCGGCTCGGGAGGGGCGGGAGAGCCGTGAGCGGCCCCCCCGGCAGGGCCTGCGCCCCGAGGACCCTCGCGCGGGACCCCGAGACCGCAGCCCCGGCACTGCGCTGTCAGCCCTGTGGTCCCTGGCGCACCCACAGCGAGCCCCGTGGCGCCCCCGCCCCACCCTTCCGTGTTGCCTCCTGCTCCGGAGCTGCTTCTGCCGGGGCCGGTGGGTGGGGGTCCCGCGGGGCCTGGGCTGGGTGCCACCGTCCTTCTCTCCGTCGCTCCCACCGCCTCGGCCGCCCTCCACCCACACCTGTGTCTGACCCACCGGGTGCTGGGCGTCCTCCCCCCGGGGGGCCAGGCCACTGTCCTGGGACGATCGGGGAGTCGGGACAGGGCAGCCCTCCCCCAGCTGCAGGGGTGTCTGGGACCCCCCAGCCCCACCCCAGCCTTTGTTTCATCTCCCGCCCCCGCTGGTGGGCAAATGGGACCCTGTCACAGCCCTAGATGTGGGGGTCCAGGCCGTGGCCCCCTCCAGCCCTGCTTTGACCGGGGCCCCGCAGAGAGCACCTCAAGGGTGCGGGGATCTCGTCCGCAGGGGCCCCACAAACCGCGAGCAGCCCGGGGTGTGCTGGCGGGGGGCTGAGGGCAGACCCTGGGCTGCTCCCTCTCCCCTGGGTGCTCAGGGTTCGAGGGTGCAGCTGTGCGGTGGCAGCGTAGAGGCAGCTGTGGGCGCCCCTTTCTGTGGCTGGAGTCTCCCGGGCTCGTACCCCGCCGCAGCCTTGCTGCTGAGGGCACTCTCAGGGGAGGGGTGCAGAGAGGCGGGAGGCGGCTGGCTCGCTGCGGTCAGCTGTCTGCCCCTGGCTAGCCTGTGGGCGCTTGGGACCCAGCCGCCAGCCTGTCTGGGTTCGGGGGGGAGTCAGGCCAGGTGGGGGACAGAAGGCGGAGCCGGGTGGGTGTGCGGGGACCCTCGCAGGGACAGACGCACCCACGCATGCCTCACGCCTCCTGCCGCCAGCTCTGTCCTCACCCTTGGGGACTTGGGGGGCCGGTGGGCACAGCCGGCCCTCGCTGCTGCCACAGATGCCCAGCTTGAGGGGCGCAAGGGGGAGCCCAGGGTTGGGCAGCCCGGACCTCTGGTCAGAACCTCAGGAGCAAAGGCCGGGACTCCGCGGGGGAAGGGGAGGCAGCCTGGAGCTGCAGATCAGGCCTGGTGGGTGGGGGGTGGCAGGTCTCTGCCCTGGGTCCTCCGTGGTCCACCCAGCGGTCAGTGCCCGGCGGTCCCCAACCCCGGTGTGGTGCCGGGGCCAGCCAGCAGAGGGCGCTGGCGGCTCGGTCGGCGGTTCGGTAATGACCGCGGCTGCTCAAATGACAGTAATCAAGGCTCATTTGGGGAAGGAAAGATGGAGTTTCCCTTCTTCCTCCAAATCATCGCTACCTGCTAAAAATGATGTATAAAACATAAGGACTCCCAGTGATTAAAACCCTCATGGATTTAATCAGAAATTCGCCGTTAACCACTATTTGCTTTGGTGCAAATTGATGTGGAATAACAAGCTCGTGGAGATGCGTTTGCTTTTTAACTTGTGGGAAATTTGCTGGTGATTTGGGGGTGGGGGGATGTTGGGGGCCCCGTTGCAAGGAGCGCCAAGGAGGGACGGCAGGCGGGGCTCGCCGGGGGTGGACACGCCCAGTCTCGGCGCATGTGTCCGAGGGCTCAGGCCTCTCTGCTCACAGCAAGCCTGGTGATAGCCCGGTCCCCTCTCCCCTGGCCTGGCCTGGCCTGGCCAGCCCCGCGCCCCTGGCTGCCCTCCCAGAGTGGGGGTTAGGGGGGCTCACCGTCTTCTCCGCTTGGGGCACCTTCTTGTAGAAGGTCTTTTCGGTGTCTCCGATCCACACCACGGAGGGCTGGAACTCTCGGGCCACCTGGAGGAATAGGGATGGGCTGTCAGGGGCCTGGCCCCCGAGGACAGCAGGGCTGGACGCTTCCGGGATGGCTCTGTCTCCCGTGCACGGGGACGCGGTTCCAGCTCGGAGCCCGTGGGAAGTCCCTTCCTATCCAGGTGACCCCCCTGCATCAAGGCTTGGGAACAGACCAGGGCTGGAAGCCGTCACTGCATCTTCTCTGATCTGGCGCACTCACTAGTCAAGGCTGTTTCCCAGTAAAGAGCACCAGCCCCGTGCCCACTCTGTACCTACCCTGTGCCCACCCTGTGCCCACCGTGCTCTCCCCGTGCCCGCCAAGTGCCCGCCCTTCATTGCACCCGGCTGTGTGGCTGCATCTTTTGTGGCTGAAGTTCCCCTGGAGGGGGGCTCTGAGCCCCAACCGGTTCGCCAAGACCCCTCGGCGCATGAGCCAGGCTGGGATACGTTTGTCACCATCTGTGCTTTGTGGACAGGCGCAGAGCCAGACCATGTCCAGCTCCTGCCTACGGTGCCCTGAGCTCTGGGCTGGTGCTGCGTCAGCCCTCCTGAGGGGAGAGGGGTGGCAGGCAGCTCAGGGTCGGGGTGCTGGCCCTCAGCTCTGTGTTCCAGAACCCCCCTGGACCCAGGTGGGCTGCATGGGGACTTGGCCTTACCACTGTGTCCTCCCCCCAGGACGGATGGGCACTTCTTTGGGAGTCCTCCCTGTTCTGAGCTGCTGAGCCAAGGACCCCTGCCCCACAGAGTGACCCTGAGCCCGGCGGCGTGCGGGTGATGACCATGAGCACCGAGTGGCCGGCCAGGGGCAGCGTCCAGGCCTGGGACCCTGACACACTCAGAATGCTTGACCCAGCTCCTCCTGGGATAACCAGAGTCTCACCCCAGGGCACCCCCCCCCCCCCCACCCAGGGCACAGTGACTCAGCCCGGGTCACAGTGTGGAAAGTGCCAGAAGCAGGAGCCCATGGGCTGGGGGTGGGTACTCGCCATCCCCCACCTGCACTGGTCAATCCCCGTCTGCCTGGGTCCACCTCCTGCCCCTCCAGCTAGCCAGCATGCCCGGCTCTTGTCCCTGATTGGCCATGTCATTAGTTTACCTATCTGGGGGCGCCAGGAGGTTATTTAAGCGCCCAACGGCCAGGGCCTAGGGCGGATGGGCAGAGGCCGGCTCTTGGGAACGTTCCCAGGAGAAAAGCGACTCTAACTTTCAGCCTAAGCCCCCCACGGCCATGCCAGCCCCACCCGCCTCCCCCCACCCCGCTGCAGAGGCTTCAGAGTCGCTCCGGAAAACGGTACCTCAGCAAACAAAAGCAGAACCTGACTCTCCCGGCCCTCTAAAGAGGAGCAGCAGAACTGAAGCCTGCCCAGCCCAGCGGCACCTGGCGGACCCCAGGCCGGGCACCACAGCCACAGCCACTGAGGCGTGGCTGCTGCGTCCACGGGCAGCAATGGACTGGCCACGTTCTCTCCGTGTGCCTTGTCCTCCTTGGGGATCGCAGGTGTTGGGCGGCCGACTGTGGGCATCTCACCTTGTGCTTTGGGTTTTGGGCCACAGCTGGAAGAGCTCAGGGCTGACTCCTAGCTCTGTGCTCAGGGATGACTCCTGGCTCTGTGCTCAGGGATGACTCCCAGCTCTGTGCTCAGGGCTGACTCCCGGCTCTGTGCTCGGGGCTCACTCCCGGCTCTGAGCTCAGGACTGACTCCCGGCTCTGTGCTCGGGGCTCACTCCCGGCTCTGTACTCAGGGCTCATTCCTGGCTCTGTGTTCAGGGCTGACTCGTGGATCTGTGCTCAGGGATCACCCCTGGAAGGGCTCGGGGGAGCATATAGGGTGCTGGGGAGTGAGCCCGGGTTGGTTGCCTGCAAGGCAGCGCCTGACCACTGAACTCTCACTGTGCTTTCAAACACGGGCCGGCCATGGGCCCCTCCACGCCCACGGGTGCTCCCAAGGCGGTGCCTCACCCCATGGTGGGGTCC